TTTTGTACGCAGTTTTTCAGTAAAGTTAGCTTTCTCAGAACCAAATTCTTGACTTATGAAAGATAATTAGGTCGCATAATTAAATTAAATAAGAGTTTGAATTTCAACCTTAATACTTGAGAGACTGGAGAGGCCCTATATAGAAACCCACAGTTATAGATTTGCCATAGCTGTAATGCCCTTTGGTATGAGGATGTGCGAATATGCTTAAATTGTGCTCTTAAGTAAATGGATATGCGAATTGTGGGAATGCAACGGAATGCATGCAAATCCTTTTCAGCTGCGGGACAATAAATGTTGTGTATGTTGACGCGCAGCAAGGATAACAACTGTGCTGCAAACTGTCGTTGCATGCCACGCCGCACACACAGAGACCAACTGCTGTTGCATCTGCTGCATCATCATCATCATCAAGAGAAGCAGTAAAAATCATTTGCACTTAACAGCCAATCAGCAAAGTCGCAATCATGTGTCCAACTCTCTGGATGCACACACCCAAACACACACACACATTTGCATAACGGGGGCAATGTTTGTGGCACCCAAATTGGCAGCACTCCAAAGATGCTCGAGAGTTGGGTGAGCAGATGGAGATGGCGCGGGTTGGGGTCATAAAAAGTGTCTATGAGCCTAGACGGAAGCCAATCAGTTTTCAAATAAGTTGGGTGCAAATAAATTCCATAGCCATTATGCGGCCAAGGCTGGCATCCAAATATAAAGTCAACCAAAAGTGCATTAGTTGAGAGAGCACGACTTCGACATACCCTCTAAGCAGCTTCTATTTGCACTTACTAAAATACGAAATTTGCAGATGCCAGCTCTAAAAGCTTCAATAATATTCTAAAAATCGAGTCTGTGTATCGATATTTATCGATTTTCGGGTAAACGGAAAGTGTGAAGATTTAATAACATAATATAGGAGAATTTATATTCCCAACTTGAAGTCCCTAGCTCTTATAATCATCGAGATATTATTATAAGTCGATAGTTATCGATTTTGAAGTGAAACGGCAGGAGCTATCGATATTTATGATATACGTAAGGCTGATATTCAGCTCGTCGGTTATGTCTCCATCTATAAGCATATATTTCTGCAAGTCCAATATTCCTTTTATTGACCAATTATTAATGGGTACAGGGTATTTTGTGTGTTGTGACTTCTCCAGCTGCGAGCTGGGTTGAGATTTGCTCATCATTGTGCCCAACCGCTCCACCAGCTGCCTTTACATTTTCATAGCAGGCCCAGAACTGGGCTGAGGGGGGTTAGGGGGGGTTGTCATTGGGTGTTGGGTTTGGCTTTGGCTGCGGCACTGGCAACATTTTTCCTGCTCATTTCCCTTGCAGGCAACACAGCAACAAATGACAACTGCGACTGCAACCGAGTCGGAAACATGTTTTGTCAGTGCTCAAGCGCCGCAGTTAACCCTTGCCAGCCCGCCCTTAACCCCTTTAGCTCCCCAATTGTCTGTCGTCCTTGTTGCTGCTGCTGCTGCTGGATTTGATTGCCGTGGAATTGCAATTTGCGCCAACAGAACAGAGCATCAGCGTCAAATCATTATAATTTCTTCGTCGGGATTTTATTTTTTTTTTTTTGCCATCCTGCTGCCCTCCCATTGCAATTGTCCTTTGTCCGCTTAGTTGTCGCTTTGATGTTGCTCGCGCTGTTATTGCAATTGCAAGTGTCTGGCAAGGATTTGTTTTAAACGGCTTTTGGCTGCGGCGTTTGCCAACTGCGTATTTGCGCTTCAAACGGGTTGAGTTCATTTTTTCACAGCTTAACACAAATTGGCTGAGTGCTTTTCGCGTGAATATGCTTCTAATTGTGATAATATTTAAAACTAGTCTGAAATGTTTTATTTTTAAGCTAACCAAGTCTGACTAAGATATGATTCAGTTCAGTTAACAGTTTGGTTAAAGGTTTGATTCATGGTAAGAAATAAATTGGAATTCCGGGCCCGAACCGGTTCGATTTAAAGCCATTCTACAGCCAGGACAAATGGATAATCTCGCTATAAGCCCGGTTTTTTACCTCAACAAATTTTGTTATGTGCTTTTCAGCTAATTTATTTTCTTCACTTACAAATTCTTCAATTTGCATAGTTATTCTAAAGCCCTTGCCCCCTTCTGAGTTCGTGTAAATAATGGCATTAATTATTTAAGTCTTTATTAAAAACTTTTGGCTTTAGCCTGAGCCAAGTTAACAACTCACAAGCCGCAGAACTATGTGCAGGCAACAGGACTCCCGACTCTGCGAGCTCCCCAGGCGAAATGTCCTTGGCTGCCGTCAGGCGAGTCATAAAATATGGTCAACACACACACACAAACATAGACATCTCACAGACACACACACACACACACTTTCTGAACTGGCTTCGGTTTTATGACTGTTGTTTTGGGGGCCTCTTAATTGCCGCAGTTGCAAACGTCCAAACAACATGTGTACTGCACCACGCCTCGTTACGCCCCTGAAACACAAGCAACAAAGCCATCTAAATAAATGGCCAAATGCAGTTGACACCGGCCGCCCCGCGTGCTGAACTCTGTCCAAATATTTGTTTGCATCGACTGCAGTTTGCATTCTGCCAATTTTCCGGTTATCCTGACGCGCCGGAGGACACAGTTAGCCGTGTAATCGAAATTCCCGGGCATTAAAGTCTATTCGGCGTGAAAATTTGTGCCGCCGGGCTCTATATGCAAAAATATTCTATTAATTTCGGCCGGGCTAATTTCGTGACCCCTTCGCCACCTGCTGCAACGAAAAACTCTTGACGTTTGTCTCCTCCTACCCCACGCTCTGATTTATGTCTTGCCCACGGGCTGATATCTTGATTACAAGTGGAAATATGTCGCCCAGCAGCCGGCGCTTCAACCCGCAAAAGTTGCAAGGGGCCGGCGGACGGGTGGGCGGCGGTGACAAAATGCCCGCAGTGTTTGTCGTCGTCGCAAATAATTTTTCTCTCATTTTTTTTTAATTTTAAGCATGCACTAATGCGAGGGTAAATGAGTGTGTGTGTGTGCGTGTGTGTGTGTGTGTGTGGAGGGTGTGTGTGTGTGTGGAGGGTGTGTGTGTGTGTGGAGGGTGTGTGTGTGTGTGGAGGGTGTGTTGCTCGCGGCGGCTCTTGTAAAAGTTCAGTTGAGTTCAAAGCTAACAAGCTGGAAAACTATCAAGCGAGCGACCTAATGGGCAGGTGGGCGCCACCTGTCGGCCAATTAATCAACTGTTCTGGGGCCTTATAAGCTGATTCTAGAATGGAATTGAGTTCGAAAACGGTAGAAGCGTGAAATAGAAAAAACAAACAATGTGGAATAATACAGATATAATTTATCTGGGGAAAATTTCAAATACTATGAGTTTATTTGGTTTATAGGATAACTAATTATTTTTAAATCTGTCAAAGAACATCTTCAAGTGAAATAGAATAAAACTATTTACAGGTTAAAATAACTAAGAATATTATAAATAACTCGGTAGATGAAAACTATAATCTGAAAATATTTGGGCAAGATTTTTGGTCAAGTGGGGGAAGTGTTTGGGAAAATAAGACTTCTACTAATGAAAATAGAAAAGAGTTTTATAGATTTGCAATTTTGTAAAATAAGTTTATACTATAATATATATACGAGTTTATAATATAAGTTATAAACTTATACATATTGTATATAAGTTAATCAAACCAATTACCTATGACAAACAACATTATTTATTAAAATGATCGACTCTCTATTAAAAAAATACTTCTAAAAGTGAATCAATCAAAGTACAATATTTTGCAGTCCATAGTTCTCTTTTAACACTCTATATAAAATTTCCAGATTCCCTTAAAACCATTCTAAAATGTATTTGAGAATGTTTCTGTTTAAATAAACCAGTTCCCATTCCAAACTAGTTCCACTTAGAAACGAAACGAACAGCTTTTTCTCTTGTTTCCCTATTTCTGTTGGAATCGATTCTTTGTTTTGGCAACGAGTCGAGTAATTAACGCCATGGGCAACAACTATAAAAAATACATAAATAAAGGGTGAACAACAGCGAAATGATAATGAGCCGACAGGCAAAAGTTATTTATATTAACCGCCCCTTTGTAGGCATTGGGCGAAGGACAAACTTTGTTGTTGGGCTTTTCCGCAATGCACGTTGAAATTCCAGCGGAAATGCCAAAACAATTGGCGTGCCTAATTGCCAGTCGGACAGTTGGCGAACATAGGTGCAAAATGGAATGGCAAAAAAAAAAACATATTGGCCAAGTTGTAATAAAAACAAAAACAACAAAAAAAGGCAGCTGAACAGAATGGCGATGATAAAGCGTAAGCCAAATTGACCGTGATCAGACAGACAGGCAGAGCGAGGAAGAGAGAGAGAGAGAGAGAGAGAAGTTCAAAATCCAGAGTGAGAGAGAGGAGCGCAAAAGCTAGCATAATTGCTGAGCGGGGGCGTGCACTCAGGCGACGCCAAGTACCGCAAGCCCAGTTTATAGAACGAAAGAATCTACATGTGACCAGACTAACGATTAAATCATTCGTGATTATTAGAGCCGGACAGTCACACTCGCCGGAACCAAAGAGAACAACAGAGTGAGAGGGTTAGAGAGAACGTGCTTTTGGCAAATACATGGCGAACATTCCATATGGTGATTGGAAAGGTTGTGCATAACTCTTGCCTGCATATTGAAAAATAAATGCAGAGATATTTCACAAAAGCTGTTTTAGAAATTAATCTTGCTTAAATTAGGGCTTAGTTAAGATAGCAGAAAACATATTCTGATAGTTGCTTGCTAATCTTATCGTTCGCTTTAACGGGTGCTTACTGTTTTCTGCCAACAAGACAAATTGAAAACCAATTGCAAAACTTTTGGTCTAATAGCGGCTGTGTGTGTGTGTGTGCGCGTAGGCATACATATGCCATATGTGTGTGTTTTTAGATAAGCGGCAATTGGCTTGGAAACGGCTAAAACACACACACACAACTGTTGAACTGTTTCTTTCATTTTTTTCGTACTCACCTCCTGCGTAATGTCCAGCTCGTGCCGTGTGTTGTCGTAGAGGGTTTCCAGCTCCTCGCACTTCTGCTCCAGCGCTGACTTCTCCTCCAGCAGCGAGAGGCCATATTGAGCGGATTGGGCGCTGGCGCTGGACACCTGATCGAGTTCGCGTGTCAGACGCTCCACTTCCATGCGCAGATCCAGAACTGTTTGAGCGCCATCGCTGGCGCTGGGGCTGGACATGGTGTTTGGGTGTTGCAGGAGGAATGGGGGAAAGGGAGGGAATGTGTGTGTGTGTGTGCGTGTGTAGCTTTAGGACGGTACCACAGTCTGTGTGTAGGCGTGGCAAATGCAGCTGCTCCTGTTGCTTGGGCGGAATTGTCGTCAATTATTTTTGTTTTTACTTATTTTTTTTTTTGGAGGGAAATCAATAAAAAACTTGTTTTATTTTCTTTTTTTCTTAGCGAGTTTTGTTGTTGTTTTTGAGTGCTTTGTCCGTTGTGGCTGCCCGTTGCCCGCTCCAGAAAACCAACTCACACCTACACGCAATCGGTTGTGTGTGTGTGTGTGTGCGTGCGTGTGTGTTTGGTTCGTTTCACCTTTTCTCTTTTGTGCTGCTATTCACTGGCACATTTGCAGCTGAGCGGTGGAATGAAAATTGGAATTTTTTCGTATATTTTTTTATTGCCAAATTTAATTCACCGTCACTTGTCGCACTTTTGGCTGCCTTCAAAAGGATCTCTCATACGGCGGCACAAGACAGAGGGAGAGGGAGAGAGCGAGAACAGGAAGTTTCAATTCACAGAACGGTCGACGTCGCTGCCGTCGTCGTCGACATGACATCACACGATTTCCACTTTCATTTCATTAATTGTTGCTGTCCAGTTGCGCAGCCCAGACAGCCGTAGCAGCCAACCTTTTTTTTTTGAATATTTACTACGTATTTTCGTTGCACTTTAGACGGAATTTGTTTATAGCAATTGGTTAAATTGCTAATTAAATAAGTTAAAATCGACAATTTTTTTATGGTAAGAATGCAAAAACAAAAACTCCGCTATCACGGTCCGTGCGTGCCTGTCTTCTTCTTTGCACACACACTGTTTGTGACGGAATGCGAATTAGTGATGTCAAGCAAATATCGTAGCAATGAGCATTGGCAACCGTTGCGATAGTTACAAAAATATATATAACAAAAAAAAAAACAATGAAAAAGGAAGGAGACAATATTTTAACTTGCAGTACGTATAATTTGGGGTAAAAACGTTAAATTTAGTAGCACACGAAAATTCATTCAAAACTAAATGTTTATTTATCGATACATCGTTTATATTTCTTAACGATATTAACAGCTTGCGATAATTTTAATTTAGCTATGTCTAATCATTGTTAGCGTCTGACCATCTACTAGTATATATAACAATACACACACTTAACGCAGTTTGAAGAGTAGGTAAGCTAATAAAGCTTCTATTTCAATACTTTCAACACGCGATACATCGCTTGTCGAAATTCAATCAATATTCTGTTGTCATGCAGTGTGTACTCACTGTTCGATAAGCAGAAGGCAAACAGCTGATGTGGTCTGGCATGCATTGCTACGTTCGGGCTGCGTTTTAAAATTATTTTTAGTTTATAATAAAGACACCTGCGTAAGAGTAATAAAAACAGCTGTAGCTAAAAACATTTGAAAACAACTCAAGCAAAGTAGCCTGCGCGTGTCTAAACAAACGTACAAGCGTGTGTATTGCGCAAAAATGTTACAGGCTGTCATTGCGAAATTCTCAGCAACAGCAGCAGACACAACGGCAGCAACAACAACAACAGAAACAACAACAACAATCCAACCAGCAGCCGTTAAAAGACAGTAAAAAAAACGACACAACAGTGCAACGAATTGCATAGTTATCAATTAAAATTTAAAACAAATAGTCATAGTTTTGTGCATGGAGCAACAGCAGCTGTGAATCTTAATCAAATTTAACTGTTGAAAGACTTGCAAACGTAAAGGTGCGCGAACAGCTGCGTCTGGGACTGGCGTAGGCGTTGGCGTAGGCAGCGGCAGAGGCAGCAACAGCAAACATACAAAAACAAACACCACAAAATAAAAAGGCGATGGAAATGCGAGAGGTGCTGAGTCGTGAGGGGCGCGAGGCAAAGAATTTGCTTGTCTACCAGTTTTGCGATGAGACAACCGCAAACGGCGCCGCTGGCGCTGACAGCGGCGCGGCCAGAGACGGCGGCGTTGTAGTCAATGGCGACTGTAAGTTGAAAGTTTTGTGGTTTTTTTGATACTCTTTGCCCAATTGAAAAAGTGCATAATAGTGCGTAACAGACAGAAGCTGATGTGAGCCAGCCAACCCATTAAGTATAAATATATTCTAGATTTTCATCAATGTCGACGTTACCGATAAGACCGCGTCCTGTCTGCGTCCGTCCGTCTGTCCTGTTGCCTTTATGAAGGCATGTATTTCAGAAATAATATAACATAATATATATAATTTTTAATACAAAGTCGTGTATACCCGCCGATAATCATGTGAACCTCACAACATAGCCCTTTGTTTCACGGATTAATCGATAAATATCGATTTTCAGCCGCATCTTTTGAACATATCTCAAAGATTATAAAGATTGGTTCTCGTGTAAAATGCACAGATTATAAATATGTGTACAGGGTAACTCCTAGTCGTTCGCTCGCGACTAGACCGTTCTTGTGGCTTTTGTAACTTGAATTTATTTATTTTAGGCTATTCAACGCCCACATGCCGTAAGCCGCCAGTGGCGCCGCCAAAATCGCCGAACGGGATGCAAACGCCCAAACACTGCCAATCGCCCACGACGATGCGCCAAGCAAAGCCGGGCAATGGCAACGTGGGCGCCGGCTCCACTGGACCTCGTGTGCGCAGCGCCTCAACGGGACGGGACAAGAAGTCGGAGCTGCAGGCACGCTACTGGGCGCTGCTCTTTGGCAATTTGCAGCGTGCGGTCAACGAGATTTATCAGACAGTCGAGTGCTATGAGAACATATCGAGCTGCCAGGAGGCCATACTCGTGCTGGAGAATTATGTGCGTGACTTCAAGGCGCTAAGCGAATGGTTTAAAGTCAGCTGGGACTATGACTCACGGCCGCTGCAGCAGCGTCCGCAGAGTCTCGCCTGGGAGGTGCGCAAAAGCAATCCGACGCCCCGTGTACGCACCAAAAGTCTGTGCAGCCCCACAACATCCGGTAAATCCAGTCCAGCGCTATTTCCCTGCAATTCCGGCAAGACATCGCCCTGCTGCGATGGACATGTGACGCCCAAGAAGCTCCTGCGCGCTTACGACCAGCTGCCACGGGGCGCCATGCGTGTCAATGTCCGTGAACTATTCGCTGCCAATAAGCGCAATGCGCATGGCTCACCCAATTCCGATGCACTGGAGCCGACGCCCGCAGCGCCATTGGAGCTGCCTGCGGACAAGCCATATGTGCAGTTAAACAATCAATATTCACAGACAGATCTTGAAGATCCGCATCTGACGCTCGCCGATGTGCGTGAAAAGATGCAACGCGAGGCAGCCGAAAGGGAGGCCGCTGAAAGAGAAGCAGCTGAAAGGGAGGCGGCTGAAAGGGAGGCGGCTGAAAGGGAGGCGGCTGAAAGGGAGGCGGCTGAAAGGGAGACGGCTGTAAAGGAGGAAGCCGCAAAAGAGTCGACTGAAATGGAGGAGGCTGTAAGGAAGGCACCTGGTAAGTATCCTATTACTGTACAATTCCATGGTCATCTTAAGTGAGAGTCCGTGGGCCATATCCAGAAGGGACTACGCGAAACTAAGGTGTCTGTTGCTTACACCTGACACAGTCCAATATCATCTCCACCTTTAGCCTCTGATTGGAGCAAGACGCAACAACGAAATCCTACCCCCACAGACGCCCTTTCCATTATAACTATTATTTACATATATATTTCATACAGAAAGAGCTCATGAATTTTAATTTTTAGATTCAGGCGCTGCTCAGCCAAAGGAGGTAATGGAGCCAGTGCAGCTGCCCAGCACAATTGAGCCAAAGGAAACACAAGCTGAATCTCAGCCAGAGCCACAGCCCGTGGAGCAGCAGCCGCCGAATCAAACAGCTGTTGCTGTCATAGAGCCCACAGCTCTGGAGTTGACTGTCTCCCGCTTGGATGCCATGGAGAATGCGTTGTTAACAGCACAGGCCATTAAGACGCCCACGCCGCCCAGCACGCTGCTTAAACCAGTGGCCATGTTGCCGGCAGAGAAGAAGAACCAATCGCAACCACTGGGTGGGGCCATGCAGAATAGTCCGCTGAAGTACTCGAGTGTGCTCAATCGACCGGCGGCGACGCGTGGCGGCAGTCAAAAGGCAAATGGACAAACGGGCGGAGCAGCTGTCAGCAATAGCAAATTGGTCAACAGCAAGCCAGCCTTGGCCAAAACAGCAGCTCCACCAAACGGTTTGCGGCGGTTTAACAACAACAGCAGCAGCAACAACAACAGCAACAACTTGAAGCCTTTTGCGGCACGCAGCGCACGTGTTCCACCGCCGCCGCGTCCGAGCAGCAAAACGGAGTGCTATGGCCCGCCTAACAATGTGGCCACACGGCTGTCCGCCAGATCACGGACCATGCTGGACATGAATGGCAATGCGGTGGCCGCCGGCGCCGTGGCAGCTGTGTTGCCCAAGCCGCTGGTCAGACGCACTGGCAGCACGCTGCTGAACCCAAGCGCCACGCCGGCTGTCGGTAAGCGTGCCAGCGTGCCCAGCATGCGCCTGAGCTCACGCGAAGACATAGCCAGCTCCACGTCCACGCTGAAGGCCAGCAACGAGCAGCTGAGCAGCTCGCGCAGCACCCTCAAGCTGGACGAGCGACATTCGGAGCCCAAGCAGCTACTGCCGGATGCCAACGATGGTTGGCTGACGGTCAAGAATCGTCGCCGCACCAGCATGCACTGGGCGAATCGTTTCAATCAGCCCACGGGCTATGCCAGCCTGCCTACCCTGGCGCTGCTCAACGAGCAGAAGGAGGAAAAGGACAAGCAGCAGCGTGAGCGGGCGGCAGCAGCAGCTGCAGCTGCCAACAGGAGCCAGGCCAGCGGCAAACCCACTTTAGCCGGAAAAATGCCCGCAACTGATATCAAATCCAAGCCTGGCAATAAAGCGGCCAAAATGATGACGCCGTCGGCGCCCAGGCCAGAAATCAAGAATGCCAAGGCCAAGGTGAACTCGTTTCCAACACAACGCACAGCAGCCAATGTGAAAAAGCAAGACAAAGAGAAGGAGCAGGGCAAAGAAAAGGACAAGGAGCTGGAAAAGAGTAAAGACAAAGAAAAGGATAAGCCGAAGCCCTCGATTGGCTTAGCGCGGAGCAGCAGCAATTGCAATCATAATATTGTCGCACCCTCGCCAAATGCACGCACCTCCATAATCATGCGACAGAAATCGGATCTCACGGGCCTCAAGATGACCTCCCTGCACAAGGAGTACATGCGCAGCGAGAAGAATGCGCTGCGCAAACAGCAAAAGGAGCAAAAGGATCAGAGCAACAGCAGCAACTCCACAGCGACTGACAATGAGTGTAAGTAAATACGCCTTGAGTTTACAGAGAAATTAATCAATTAGCTGGTGCTTGTCAAGCAGACAGTCAGTCGAGCAGTCAGGGCCAAATGTTCTATATATGTGTCGATGCATATTCAGATGCATATTTAGATAAATTAACATGTGTATATTATAAAAACTGCATAGATCATCAATCGTCAGTCAATCAATCTGGTGTTCAGTCTGCCAATCAGTCAGGATATTTTTAAAAAATATAGATAAATTCATATATTTATTTATATTATTTATTTCGTGTATTACAAATATTGATGATCTACATAGGCCAGTCAATCAATCAATATGGCTTGTCAATCAGGAAGATGAAACGGTTTCATATATTAACATATATGAAAAATTATTTTTTATATAGACTTTTTATATATACTAAAAAAATATATCATAGATCATCAATCAGTCAGTCAATCACTCCGGTGGTCAGTGGTCCATCAATCTGGTCAGATATCAACCTGGCGGTCCATCAAAATTTGTCAAATTTTAGTATTAACTTAAATAAAT